GAGAAGTGATAATGGGACAGAATTTAATTGTTTAAAAGATTTTTTCGGGCCAGTGGAATTATTTTTCAGACATCATGTGTTGGCACGCCACAACAGAATGGCCGTGTTGAGCGTAAACATAGGCATATCCTGAATGTTGCTCGTGCTTTGAGATTTCAAGCACATTTACCTATTTCTTTTTGGGGAGAATGTGTGCTTACTGCATCTCATCTTATTAATCGTACTCCATCTGTTATTCATCACTATAAGACGCCCTATGAAATATTATTTGGTGTCCCGCCATGTTATAAATCTCTCCGTGTTTTTGGTTGCCTATGTTATGCTTTTAATATGAAGTCAAAAAGTGACAAGTTTCTCAGTCGCAGCAGAAAATGTGTATTTTTGGGTTACCCTTTTGGCAAGAAAGGATGGACTGTGTATGATATTGAGACTCGGGAATATTTTGTTTCACGTGATGTCAAATTTTTTGAAACTATTTTCCCGTTTGCTAGTCCTTCTACATCCACTGATCAACCACCGGATTTCTCCACTAATTTTTCATATGATTATATTGATTTGGAAGCCTATGGTTATTCTGCCACGTCTCCAACTACCAAACATCCAGCTGCCTTTGTGGATACTACTGATCCGCCAATTACTTCGGTCATGCCACCTCCTGTGGATAGTTCTGCTCCTGAGAATACACCGCATGTAACTGATGCAGCAGATGCTCTCCAACAGCCCACAGTTTTGGGACGAGGTCAGCGAGCACGGGTTCCTTCTGTGCGTCTCAAGGATTTTGTCACCCACACCATTATTAAAAACAGCCCATTTCCCGTTCCTCCTGTTTCGTCATCCTCTTCAGGTACGCCGTTCCCTATAACTCATTATGTTACTTGTGATCGGTTTTCTCCGAAACATGTTGCTTACTTGGCAGCTCTTGACTCTATTATGGAGCCCCAGACATTTAATGATGCCGTCAAACATGATGGGTGGCGCCAGACCATGCGTGCAGAAATTACTGCTCTAAAAAAGAATTCTACATGGAGCCTTGTTTCTCTACCTCCTGGAAAGCGTGCATTGGGATGCCGATGGGTGTATAAAGTAAAACATAAGTCTGACTGTACCGTTGAACGCCTTAAGGCACGATTGGTAATTTTTGGTAACCGACAGGTTGCTGGCTTAGATTATACTGAAACTTTTGCCCCGGTCGCCAAAATGGTTACCGTGCTTGCATTTCTTGCTATAGCTGCCTGCAAAAATTGGGAGCTCCATCAGATGGATGTACATAATGCATTTCTTCATGGTGATCTGCATGAAGAAGTATACATGACTATACCTCCTGGTTACACCACCACTGACTCATCTTTGGTGTGTCATCTTCATAAATCTTTATACGGACTTAAACAAGCTCCACGGTGTTGGTTTGCTAAATTAGTTACCGCACTTAAACATTATGGTTTTCTTCAGTCATATGCTGATTATTCTCTATTTACACTCACCCGTGGTGTTACTCAGCTCAACGTCCTGGTGTATGTTGATGATCTTCATATCTCTGGAAATGATCGTACAGCTATTGCTAGTTTTAAATCCTATCTTAATGAATGTTTTCATATGAAGGATTTGGGCAGTCTTAAATATTTTCTTGGCATTGAGGTTGCCCGTAGCTCTTCTGGCATATTTCTCAATCAACGAAAATATGCACTTGATATTATTACTGAAACTGGTCTCTTAGGTGCCAAACCAGCCTCTTTTCCAATTGAGCAAAACCATGATCTGGGAGGTGCATCCGGTCCACTACACCCAGATCCTGAACAATATCGGCGCCTTATTGGTCGACTCATTTATTTAGCGGTTACTCGCCCCGATCTTACCTATTCGGTCCATATTTTATCTCAGTTCATGCAAAATCCTCGGGCTGAACATTGGTCTGCTGCACTACGAGTTGTCCGGTATCTTAAAGGCTCTCCGGGTCAAGGTATTCTCCTCCGTGCTGACAGTGATCTCACTCTTACTAGTTGGTGCGATTCTGACTGGGCTGCGTGCCCTATTACTCGAAGATCTCTCTCTGGTTGGTTAGTGTTCCTTGGCCACTCTCCTATCTCTTGGAAAACTAAAAAACAGTCAACCGTTGCCCGATCATCTGCCGAGGCCGAATATCGCTCCATGGCAGCTGCTACTTGCGAGCTTAAATGGCTTAAGGCGTTATTATTGAGTTTGGGTGTTCAACATTCTCAGGCTATCCCGCTCTACTGTGACAGTCAATCTGCTCTTCATATTGCTAATAATCCCGTGTTTCATGAACGCACAAAGCACATTGAAGTTGACTGCCATTTTGTTCGTGATGCCATACAAGCTAATATTATTGCTCTCAGCTATGTCCCTACTACGGTTCAACTAGCTGATATTTTCACCAAAGCACTTGGCAAAACTCAATTTCAAACTCTCCTACGCAAGTTGGGCATTCTAGATCCCCATGCCCCAACTTGAGGGGGGGTATTGGAGCATTATGGTTGGAATCATTTATTTAAGGAAGTATATTATTTATTTTATGGCAATTGTATTTGATTAGGATTATGATTGCTTGACCGATCCTAATTGATCGGTGGTTCTATTGTATAAGAGAGGGCGAATTCCCCTCATGATGTACACAGAAATATAAAACATTCTTCTTAATATTATTTTTATATATTTTGGTGCGCATGAATCCATAAAGTTATCAGATATTGAAACCATATTAGAAGCGTATTGAATCATAAAGGCTTATATGAATATGTTGAGATTCCGAAGAAGATTCAAATAAGAAGCTAATTAAAGAAGCTGAATCCATAAAGGAAAAGGGAATGAGATCATATATTGAAATTTGACGTAGTATATCCTATTCTTCAGGCCGAAGCTAAAATGCCGGCCTACAACTTACATGGGGCTGTCCATAAGAACAAGGAGCAAGATATGCCATGGGGTGACCACAAAACCCGATTTCCTCTTCAGGGCCAACCAAATTGGAGAAACACATTGTCGTGTGCTCAAGTATCCTGTGTGATAACCAGCCTGCTACCTATATATATATAAAGGGAAAATTAAATACGTAGTAGTACGTATATACGATACAAGTTCCCATCCACAGAGTCATGATATAATGAATTAAACAAAATTGATTTTTCATCCCATAAAGTTTGGATCATGATTCTCATTAGTACAGGTATATATTACTCCCTCCGTCTCGAAAAGGTTGGACAAAATTGACTTGCAGAGGAGAGAGAATTAACTTTAGCCACATATTCCTTAATTTAAAGGTGTTACGTAAAAAAAAAATATTACTAAAAAAAGAGCTTTGGAAAAAAAGTGAACTTCTTTAAATATATCCCAAAATAGGACTAAACAAAGGCTAAACTACTCATGGATGCTACAGTAACGACAGTGACTAAATATGATAGTGACCAAAACCTAAATGTGACAAAAATAAAATAAAATAATTGTCCGCTCCTGCCACCGTCGGTCATGGTGAGGCGATTGGCAGGCGGCGGCGATGGTGGGGCGATTGGTAGGCAGCAGCGATGGTGAAGCGATTGGCAGGCAGTGAAGATGCTGATGCGATTGGAAGGCGTCGGCAGCCGACGAAGAAGCAGAGACAGAGGCTTTGTTGAAGATGGAGGTCAGGAGTTCGCTGGGAGCTACTGGATTTTGTAGACGAAGAGTTTGAAGGCTAATGGAAGGGTATTTCTGCCTTTTGAGAATTATTAGGTCTTATTTATGTCTGTATCCATCATTAGATCTATTTTTGTCCTGCTGTAACGTACGTGAGAGTATTAGTTTAGTCATTCTTTCTACTTTAAATGGAAATGGTCAATCTTTTTGGGACATCCAAAAAATGGAAATTTGGCCAACCTTTTTGGGACGGAGGGAATATGAAAGTTACGAATTTTATACTTCCTACTTTCCTTTTTGGACAGTTTCAAAAAATACTTCTCATTTCCTTTTTTGGAAAATTTTGTGTGGCTCACATTCATTTACCTTTTTTCTTACTCAACCACAACCATACATTTCCACTTTGTTAGTATTAAAAAGTTTGCTCCATGGTTAAGTTTCATTATAACTACAATGATGGTGTTAAAAATGAGCTGAGGATCACGAGCCATTTACCAAGGAACATACTCCCTCCGTTCTTTAAAAAATGCAACACTTTCCATTTACGGCAGTTTCAAATTAAATGCAACATTTCCATTTTGGGAAAGAAACATTAAGTAAACTGACTGTTATACCCTTTTCTTATTTACGGCACCCATCCCATTTCTGACATTTTTTTAATTTATCCACCCACCACCACCAACCTTCATCTTTACAACCCCTCTCCCCTCTGCAATTCCATTCACCTTTACCATCGATTCTCCTCATCTACCCTAACCCATTCTCCATTTCTTCCCCATCATCTACCTCATTTTTTTTGTTTTCTTCCATCTACTCCCCGAAACGAAAGGTCATGGATGAAGACGAAACTGATTTTTCTCCGTCTACTCCTCCACGAGTTACAACCTTCTCTTTGGTGGATCCGATTACTCCCCTGCGAGATACTATCTCCTGTTTGGTGGTTCCAGATACTCCGCCACATGTTCTTCTGGAAAGAGAGAAAGAGTTTGACGATCATAACTTCTTGCCATCTAATTTTGTGGTGAAGAAGGTATCACGGAAGTTAGCAATGAAGAAGGACAGAGTATACAATCCAACATTCGGATTCCAGACACCTGTCTTCATGGATATTTTACGAATCTGGTTTCCAATTTGTTTTGGAGAGAAGGGATATGGTGAAAGAGGTAATTTACTTGGTACTTCTTGATCTATACATGTGGCTGATTTGTTGTGTGTAATTTGTGTATATATGGGCCTTAATGTTTATATAGCTTTCTTTATTGGGTGTAATTTGTATGCAAATGTTTACTTCGTACTTGCTATTGCTTAAGGAATGTACTGTTATTGGTTTTGATTTTAAGCTACATCAACAACTGAATAAATTGATGTTGGGTTTGATTTACCATCAACTGAATATAGAAGTACTTTTAAGCTATTCGTATGCGAATATAGAAGTACTTTTAAGCTATTCGTATGCTTAAGGAATCCTACTGCTATTTGTTTTTCTTTATTGGTTTTGGTTTTAAACTACTCCTTAGTGCTTAAGGAATCAACTGCTTAAGGAATCCTACTGCAGAAAACTTTAGTTTACTGGAAGAAAACTAAAGGCTTAGTTTTCTTAAACTAAAGGCTTGTTTAAGAAACTGATTTGATTTTTGGTGGGATTTTCAGAGTTTACACTTATTTTTTTTTTACATAAGTGTAAGATTATTTTTAAGAAACAGAAAACTGTGAATAAATTGTTTTCATTTTAAGATACATCAAGTTTAAGCAACAGAAAAGTTTAAGGAACAAAAAGTTTAAGCAACAGAAAACTGTGAATAAAGTGTTTTGATTTTAAGCAACAACAACTTTTAATCACAGCTTTATCAAATTGTAAAAAGTATCAGTTTTGTGTGTTTTATGGGTATAATCTGTAACCGTAATAGAAAAACATTAGGCCACATAATCTTTACACACTAAGCAACATACTGCTATGATTGGAATATTTGATTGTTGGAAAAGCTGTTTGTGATTATCCTTACAAAAGTCAAGCATTTCCTACAAAAATTAGGAACTACCCTTTACAAAAAAGGCTGCCTTTATAATACCAGGAACTATCCTTTACAAAAGAGGTTGCCTTTATAATACCAGGAACAATCCTTCACAAAAAAAGGCTACCTTGACATAACTAGGAACTAACCTTTACAAAAAGGAGGCTGCCTTTTCAAAAGCAGGAATTATATCCCTTACAAAATTAGGAAGTATCCTTACCAAAAAGAGGCTGCCTTTACAAAAGCATGAATTATCCTTTCCAAAAAGAGTCTGCCTTTGCAAAATGAGGAACTATCCATTAGTGTAAAATTCAATTAAGTGCAGGTGTCACGTTTGACCCCACCCCTGTACTTAACTGAATTTGACCATCCATGAGGTAGTGTCTAGCATCTGAAATTAAGTCTTCTGGAAGATCAATGTTTGTTGGCAATAATCCAAGCTTGTCCATTTTTCTTTTTCCAGCATGAGGGTTCTTGTAGTTATTACCACCCTTGACTCTTAGAACTTCTATCATAATGTACTGGAGGTGCAACCAAGTATAGTTTAATAGCCTTGGTTCAAAAGCATAGTATGCATCTTGGACTGCATTAACTAGTTCATTTACATCCCTAGGGAATGATTTGTATTGGATAGACTGGATAGCTCTAAAAAACCCAAGATCAAGAATATTAAAATCCGGGCTTTGGGCTGGTTGGCAAGTAAGTCTAATGTTGAACCCAAATGATGTAGCATCCTTAGTAAACTCTTCATCATGAACACCTATGTGAGGTCTTGCATTATCCTGTTGAATCCAAATATCTTTGCATCCATTAGACGGCCATTTTTCTCTTATTGCCGGTAGGACTGCATAGATAAGTTTTGATCTAATGATGTCTCTTGTCACACTTTGTATTGCCTTTGTTTCCGGAGTGCCTGCAACTCTATTTGTTGAATTTCTTTGTGCATAAACCACTTCAGTGAATGGGAAAATGCCAATTTTCCCATCCCATGTCACTACACCTTGAGCTGAAACATGCGGTCTGGCCACAACAGCCAAAAACATTACTTTGCCTATAAATTTCTTATTTTGGCAACTTCTATACGGATCATCCTCCCAAGGAAATAGGTAAAACCTTTGTGTTTGTTGTGACATGTAGAACCATTTCTCGTCCATGTGAACCATATTATACATTTCACTGAATTTAGGAAGTGTGTGCACTTGTCTTGGCAGAATCTGAGCCAAGATGTATTCTAGCCTCTTTAGCATGTGTGAATGACTTAGCTTAGGCTTGATACTATTGGTATGAGATCTTATTTGGCCTGTTTTCAGCAATCTATATACGGCAGAGTGACCAATCTCAAGGGCAATTGACAAAGATCTTATTGTTGTCCTTTTTCGAATGGGTATAGCTTCAAAAGTAGATAAATCAAATACCTTTGGCTTCCTTCCCACGTTGCCTTTTTTTTACTTTTTACATCAATCAATGCACCAACACCAAATTGTAGTTTTGCTGCGGACCATAGTCTCCAGACTGTGGTTCTGTGCACTTTGAACTCTGCTGCCATCTCTGAAATTGCTCCTTTGGGTAAGTTTTTACCATCAGCTAGTGTCAAAAGTTTCTCAACTAGGTGTTTTCTTTGACTGTTTTTGAGATTTTCTTTCCTTTTGTTTGCTGATGTAGAACCATAATTTATTCCAGATTCTTCTTCTTCTTCACTTTCACTTTCAGAGAAAAAGGATGAAAAGATTTCTGTGTCTGGATCTAAATCATCATCCCCAAATGCTCCTTCGGCTTCTAGTTGAAGAAGCTCTGCTATGGAAATTTCCTCCTCCATTATGGATGTGCAGCAGTGATTTTGTTTTTTGTGTGCAGACTGCTAGGCTTTATTTTTTGTTTTATGGTTGAACATGGTGGAAACTGATGATGGTGGCTCTATATGTACGCTGAAACGTAATTGGAGGGAAACTAAAATTTTTGGACTCATATTCTCTCCCTCCGCAAGTGGACTTGATAATTTAGTAGTACATGTACGGTTGTATGTGGATGTAAAGAAAAGTCATGTACTGTTGTTAACATTATTAACATGTGGATGTAATGAAAACTTTGATTGATAGGCTATTGTAGCACTTTATGACCCTTTTGGTTTATACGTACAGGGTAAAACAAGCAACCACATTACTTTTTCTTTGTTTCTTAATCCTTGTGCCCAAGCTCATGTTGCATTCTTTTCGGAACGGAGGATAGTATAACAAGGGCATGATAGGACTTTAGAATATCGTGATCGATTACTCTATTTTTATATTCGCTATATTTTACTTTTAACATTGGGGCTAATTGATTTATGTGCGTAGAAATGTAAATGTATGTATGTACGTACCTTAATGCCGAAAAGCTTAAGTACAAACTCAGCTATAAAAAAAGTGTAAAGCGCTTCGAGGGAACGTTTCTTGCGGTCAATGGTTTGCTTGGCTTCTCTTAGATAATCCAAGGGATTATCCCGCAACGCAATTCTGAATGGGAGGATTACATAACCAATCCAATTTCCCCATTTCGCTTCTGACTCCTTTTCCATCATATCTGCTAATGCCTACGCATGTAACTTGTTAATTATTAAGTTATTCACGGGAACGGAGCACACAATTTAATTTGAGAGCTAGTTTTCTTTCCAAAATAAGAATTGATAAATATTGTCATTAATTATAACAATCACTGTCACGTTGTATGCATAGTTTTGCAACTATATTTGATAATCATGACTAAAAAATGACAGCAAATATTGTCATCTTACTCTTATTTCGGAAAGAAAAACAAATAAGTCAAATTTTGAAATTGTAAATGTTATTTAATTCTATTTTGGGAAATGTTTCTTGCATTTACCAAAGGTGAGAGCTAGTTTTCAAACGAACCTGTATTCCAGCAGATGGTCTTAGGTTAACAAGAAGTGTTGACCGAAGTAGGATGTTGTCAGGAAGATGCTTCCCGTTATCTGTATCTCTATCTCTTAAATGGCTCTCCTTGCCCTCGCCTGAGGTTGAATTGTAATCACATCGATATAAGAACTTAATTGTTTAAACTTTAAATCCTCTTTCATATTTGGTGATTAACTCGTAAACAAACTGTACAAATAAAACCTCCAATACTTTTTTTCTTTATCCTAAAATAGCACTCAATTAGTCTTAATTGATGAAACTATATACTTTAATAGCACCAAATAAATTCTATTTTATCAATAAAACATAAGTAATTATATTTATAAACTTTGTCTATGTTTAGTCTTACTTGGAGACCTTTATTTAAATAAATTGGACTGAAATTTGTATCGTCAGGGCATTTGCATTCATTAGATTATTTAAGGTTTAATTGAACGATGTGGAAGATCATTTGAAAAATTATCATTGTGAGAGAGAGATTATTTAGGGAGATTATTGAAAATGAAAATTCAGTTTCAAGATCCCGGATTATTTTAGGTTGTAGTTAAGCTGCATTTAATGCATGGCCTACAAAAACTAATTATTCGAGTATCATGGTTGATAAAGAGTTTTAATATTTGAAATTATTTAAAATTTATTGAATAAATGTGATGTGACAATGATGTGTAATACAAAAATAATTTATTTTGATATCATGAATGGAGATCCTCTTAACACAAAAATAGGATAGGAGTTATAATATAGACAAGTATTCTTTCAAAAAAAAAAGACAAGTATTTAAACTTTACACGATTAGAGCATGTCTTATACGTACTATATCAAACACATACGTAGTATATAATTTGTCGTTAGCAAATTCACATACTATGTATTATAAAACGTCTAGAGCATAGTCAGCTTTACACGAGTTCAAAAGTCAATATTCGGTACATATTTATAACTAAAACTCGTTTTCAATTAGAAATAATTACATACTTAACATTAAAATAAAAAATATTTATAAAAATATGAACTCTTTTATATGTAATAACTATAGTACCAATTTGATCATAATAATATTTTATGTTCGGTTTTTAATCTTAAGTGATCATATTATATTACTACTTATATTAATGCGGAAATTAAGAGGCCGTTTGACAACACTGTTTTTCGGCTTATCAGGCTTATCAGGCTTATCAGCCAACATTTTCATCAAACACGTAACTTTTGCTTTCGCGCACTAAATTGTGTAATAAGCAGAAAAAGTAAGGTTGGAGTTACTTTTCTGGCTGTATTGGCTGAAGTTACTGTAGATGATCATTTTAACTATTTTACATACAACTTTTTCTTTATTTTGTTAACAAAATAAATTTTAAAAATAATTTTTTCTTAAATCAGCGGAATCAGCCAATGCAGTCACTTCAGCCAGAACTTCATAAATTTCAGCGGAATCAACCATATCAACTGATTTTCGCGCTTCCAAACGGGCTCTAAATAAGTGCAAATTAGGTCCATTTGATCCGAGTCCACTTTTTAGGCAATTACTCCAGTATTTTTTTCATTGAAACATGTGTGATGTGACAATGATGTAACTCATATGGGTAAGTTCTATGTCTCTTGCAATTATTTTCTATCGCACGGGTAGCTCAATTGATTGATTGGTGAGAAATTTGGAACAATGATCAAGGTTCGAAACCTACAGCGGCCGTGTGAAGGTTACAGTTCCTGCGTGCTGGGCTGGACCTCCGGTGCGCACGAGTGTAAGGTCTACCACTATTGGGTCGACTGAGTCACCGTGACTTACTCTTTCGTCATCCTGTCGTGTCGGGTTGTGTGGGCTTTTGGGGTGGGAAATTCCACCTTTTAGAATAATGTAATGGTGAAGGATGCAGTTGAAAATTAAAGCACAAAAGCTCTTGACAAAAAAAAAGCACAAAGGCTGACTTGAAAAATTCCCCGCAGTATTCATTGTTTTGAAATTCTCAAAAGTGAACCTCGAATTTTGCGGTAATTTTCAGAATGGTTATTTGATACTCGGTGATATTTACAATTGAATTAATTCCAATTCCAGTTTTGGTCCCACGAGTTTTGTGCCAATTTCATCTTTAGTTCACGTCTTTCACTTTATCCACTTTTGGTACTTGAATAATGTTTTTTAACCGTTTCAGGTCCTTTTCCGGCGATTTTAACTATCGGAAATAATGCCGGAAGGACCATATATAGGCGAAAACACAATACTCATGTACCAAAAGTGGACAAAGTGAAAGATGTGGACTAAATGTGGAAATCACTTAAAACTCGTTTGACCAAAAGTGGAATTTATTCTTTTCATTTCTTGAAATAGTCTTGAGATACACAAATAGGGAGTATGAAATATCCACAAAAGTTTTCGAATGCAACTCTTATATGCAAGAATAAATATCACCAACAAAATGTGAATCCTGTCATATATAGTGCCATGAAAAATTTCTATTTTATTTCATGGATCAACATCTTGCGGAAAGTATGTGTGAAGTGAATGTTACATATGCACCCTATGTCCCTTTTAATTCAATTTATTTTTTAAGGGGAATTTTATTGATAAAAACAAAAATAGAGTAGAACGATAAAGGAAAAAACAAAAGCAGTACAAAAAAAGAGTATAAACTAAATAAAAGAGCTAATCACATTAGAAATGTCTATATTGAGACTTTGTCGCCGTGCCCCTTTTAATTAAATATATACTATGCATTTGATTTTTTGTTGAGTGATAGATATTTAACTTTGACCTATTATATATTTATATATGAGAATAATTATAATATGAAAATGATGTGAGAATGTCCTTTATTAAAAATGTTATCATTCGAATTGATTTGAAGGTGTTCATGTATTCGTAGTAATTGTTTTGTACGCAGTGTTATTATATCATCAACCCATTCTATTTGAATAACCCAATTGTGACACACAAACAAGTCATTCTCACAAAGTTCAGAAAGTTAATGTAATGGATGTAGATTTTTGTAAAATAAGATGTACTCCGTATTATGATTAATGAAGAGTTACCATATCGTCTATTGAGATAACGTGACAATCCAGCCTGCGTGACTCCTAATCCAACATCGTTTATGGTCTGCGCAATTATTCGAAATATTTTATTAAGCAGGAAATTGAAGACAAAATACATTTATGAAGCAGGAAATTGAAGACAAAATAATACTCCCCATCATTTATACTAGCATTGAATTTTGTATATGCTTCATAATGTAAAACATTATTTGAATATATTGATAATTAAGATGGTGCATCGTGCCAGATAAACAATTCTTATTGAATTTAATAAGAAGCAGATGTTTTATTTTATATTTTTTTTTTTACATTTTCACGTTATTTTTAAAGTTTTTTATTTTTTTTAGTTTGGTTTTAATTTATTTGATTGAGAGATATTGTACCAAACTAAAATCATTTGTTTCAAGTTCAGTTTACCAAAGTAAAAATTATTAGGTTCAATTTATTCGATTTGATCTGATTGCTTATTTTTTTTATTCTACTTGATCAAGTTCTATATTTTAGAAATATAAAATGAAAATAGTAGTTCAACTCATTTTGTTGTATTTATTATATAAATAAAATGTGAAGGGAAATAAAATATAGAAAAAGAAATAAGAAAATATTACAAATAAACTTCTTATTTATTTTCCAAAGACTGATGATATGAAAACGTCTAGCATTTTTCAACCACTAGATAAAAGATTTATCTCTCACAAAAAAAGTTTGTAATACCTCCGTCCTATTATAGTTAATCATCTTTGACTTTTCCAGTCAAAGATGGTAAATTTTGACCAATTATTTTAACTAATATGATTATGAAAAATTTAACAGTATGTAATTTCATATTGTTAGGATAGTTTTTTTGGACAAAGAGCGTTTTCATATCATTTTCATATTTTCAATACTTATGCATATAAATATATAATCGGTCAAAGTTAGACACAATTGACTTGAAAACTGAAGTTTAGCTAACTAAAAGTGACGAAGGGAGTAGTACGTTGATTAGCATTTATAATATCAGATAAATGATATACAAGTTGATTAGCATTTATCACATAAATACTACAAGTACGATTTAATAGTTAACTTTGTCATAATGAATGTATGATACGTGTAAAAGATAAAGTGATATATGTTAAACATGTATTTTTCATATCTAATTTACTTCGTACTATCCTCTGTATCGCATTAGTTGCAACATTGCCAATTACACACTATTCATGGACTCTACTTTGACTACATTTTATTTATTAATGTATGTGAATTATTATTTTTGAAAATTTTTGTTGAATTCGTCTCATTAAAAAGTTTCATAATCTAATTTTTAATTACTTTTTACTAATACAAAAATAAATGTAATGATGATCAAAGTTGTGCGTTGGCAAACATGAAAAAGTGAATGTTGCAACTAATGTCCTAAAGATGAAGCGTGATGACAAACTGAATGAGTTCTATTTTAGGAAGAAAATAATGATTAATTATTAGGTGAATATATTGTAATCATTTTCCGTACCATCATACTTTAACAACTTTTCTTTTTCAGTTATCCAATAAACTTTGTTATTTTCCCATTAAAGTAAGTAATCTGTGATTTTGCTTATATCTCTCTCTTCTGCACAAATATCAATTTTACAATTTTTTCTTTTCTTATTTTTCACATAATTCAAACTTGACAAAGTCCAATGAGACAAGGGTAATATACTTTGGAAATGTTTTAATAAGATCGAAGACGTTTGAAAAAGGAGGAATTTGACTTTGTACCCCACTTTTTGGGTGATATTGAACTTTGCACTCCATTTTCAAAAAACTTTGATTTTGCACCTCATTCCACTTAAAAATTCTTAGACTTTGCAGCCTATTTATTTTTCACAAAATGTTATGTGTTGGGGTGCAAAATCAAAGTTTTTTCAATATGGGGTGCAAAGTCATTATATCACCCAAAACGTGGGGTGCAAAGTCAAATCTCCATTTGAAAAACTAAAAGAAAAACTGTAGATTCCTTAAAAATTACTCCGTAGTTATGAAAACTAGGTTCATATATAAGCGGAGTCAGAAATCTATATATTGTTTGCTGGGTGGTTTGAAAATTTCACATAGGTCAAAGCTTAAAACATCAACATACTCTATATTTTTTATATATTAAATATATTTATATGTCAATGTACTTCGTATATTAGAATTTGTTTTTGAGCAAGTATAAGTGTATAACAAGATATATTGGGTGAGTATAACTAGATATAAAGATCTCAAAAGTCAATATTTACACATACCATGTCCATGGCGTTCTTGATGACTTTGAAATCATGTAGACTCAAAGTCCGAAAAACGACCCGCCTGGGATGAAACTGTGAACCAGGCATAGCCTTGATAGGAGTGGCAGTATCCTTTAGGAACATGGCGGTAGCGACAGCCCTAATCACGTCAACTATGCTGTGCCACATCATCAGCACCACATGCCACATCGACACAAAATATGTCCAGAATTTCGGGGATGCATAGGAGGTCGACGACATGGTGCTGGGCGGCGGCCTCCTTTTCTTCGTCGGAATGGTGGGGAGGAGATGAGGGTGGGCGGTCTGGCGCGTGCACGCCAAGAGCAGTGAGATGAGCGACGCGCCGTCGCCGAGCGAGTGGTGGATTCTCAGGATTGCGACGGCCTCGGCGTCGGAGGTTCTGAGGTTGAGGAGGTGGAGGTCCCACAGCGGTTTTGATTTGGGGAGGCTTGTTTTGCTCAGGTTGTAAATGTAGTCTTCCACGAGCTTGTCCGCCGGCGATGACCCTCCGCGGAGGAGAGGATTGTTTTCGCCTTCATCCGTTTCCAATTCCGGCACCACAATATGTTGATCCAAGTCCACCTCTGTCACCACCCATTTCATTTTATGCTGCTCGTCCTCAACCTGCAGCTAGCAAGAACATTGATCCTATATTGAGCAATTTCTATTTCTTGTATTCATAATTACCCTAAATAGGACTAAATGGAAGCATAATTGCACAAATAGGGGTAAAACCTAAATATTCTTCACTTAATACCCATAATCTAATTAATTTATTGTCCCATTGCTTGTTCCCTTAGGCAACCGGGGCAGTCTGTTGGTGGTGGAAGTTACGGAACTCTGGCGACCGTCGGCAACACACGGACTGGGGAAAAAGAAATTTGTTTTTTTTTGCCTAGTCGACCTCCATCTATGACATAGTTGACCCGCGAAGTACAGCCGGAATCTAGGTGGAAACCAGGGTTCGGCGGTGGCTAGTGGTGGTAGTGGGTAAGTTTAATACATACATGGTCATTTTTAATTTGTCCACACACAAAAAAGTCAAATTTTAAAAAAATTCAAATTTCCATTTCTATTTGTGATTTTTTGCAATGTTTTACCCCTAATTAGGCAATTCACTACTTCATTATTAAATATTAAAGGAAGTAATAAATGAAATTTTTTCTGGTACACTAGCTATAATAATACGGAGTATTATGTTCTCCATGGGAAAAAATAGGCACAGTACAAAAGTTTATATGATTCTAAATTATTCTAACTTTTTTTAGTTTATTCATTTAATATCAACGATAAAACTCACTTAATAACCATATTACTTCCTCTCCCGGTATTAGTCGGAAGGAGGTATCATGTTTTAATCTTATTTAAAGAAATATTGATTAGGTTTTACTCACTTTTCGAATTTTGCATCTAATACCAATGATTTCAAAGATGTGAATTTCGCATGTTGTAAGTACTAATAATTTCTAAGTAGAACGCGGTGCGAACTTAAATGCAAAAACATAAAGCTAATTAAGGGTGTTAATGTTAGGGTGTATACAACTTTCACCAATTCTGGAGATTCTTTAGAACAATATACTCCCTCCGTAACTTTAGAATCTTCCCATTTCAACAGTAGGTAGATTAAGAATAGTGAAAGATGATATGAATTATTGAGGGTATGATGGGAAAATAGTGGAATAATGTGGTGGAATGTAGGATAAATCCAAAAAAAGTAGTTGTAATAGTGTATTATTTTAAGAATTATTGAGGGTATGATGAGAAGATTTAGAAATGGGAAGATTTTTGTGTTACGGACAAAAAAGGAAAGTGGGAAGATTTTTAAGTTACGGAGGGAGTACAAGTTTAAAAACAGATTAAAAGGATGATGAAGAAACATATTTTAAACTATACTAGTACTATTATGTCCAGAACATTTGATCAAGTACGTCCTTGATACTTTTCAACTCAATATACTACGTATGTCTCTAATGTTTTCACCCAAAGAAGCAAATGAGCCCAAATTTTAATTAAATACTAAAACAAGTAAAGTAAAAATCACGAAAGAACTAATTAACATATACTTCGTATATAGCTAGACTATATGAAAAATGATAAACTACAAAATAATTTAAGAATCTTTATTTTCTCCAAAAAGGCATATACGACGTAGTAAAAACATGTCCTAGCTATTTCTTCTCTAGCGTTTCACTCCAAGCAGCAGATTAGCCGTTTCACGATATATGTGTTGTTAGATGTTTAATTTTATTCTTTTTTTAAAAAAGGGAAAACTATCAAATAAGCCCCCGTACTATACCGAAAAAGTCGATTAGGCCCTTGTACTTTACAAACACTCATTTAAGTCCTCGAACTATTAAAAACGTTCAATTAAGCCCTTTCGGTCGGTAAGTAACCGGTTTCCCGGTTAGATGTAACATGTTTCCCGGCAGCCGCTGTTGTTGGGGTTCGAGCACATCGTCGCCGTCGTAGCCGTTTAACCGGGAAACCGGTTACTTACCGACCGAAAGGACTTAATTGAACGTTTTTTAATAGTTCGAGGACTTAATTGAGTGTTTGTAAAGTACGAGGGCCTAATCAACTTTTTCGGCATAGTACGAGGGCTTATTTGATAGTTTTCCCTTTAAAAAACAAAATGTTTACTTTTATTGAACATCTACAATAATAAGTTTAAAAGGATCTCGAACCGTTGTTTTCATCTGGATATTGATATATGTTCTTTGAAGGATCTCGATAGATGGTCATCATGTATGTTGATATTAATTTTGGGCTTTAACCGGCCCAAACTAATAAGGCAACTACTTATATTGCGAAAATGGGCCTGTTTGGGAATTTCCAGTGGAAGAGAGGAGAGCCCATGTCACAGAAGCTGAAGGGAATTATCCAGCAGGATTCGATATCTACTCCATACATTTTCATCTAGTTTTTAATGTTGTTTGTTCAGCATTTTTTCATTGTTTGTAAATGTTTCCAAGCAATTAATCACAGATTTTGGTGGTTAACCTGTCGGGTTAAAAAGAGTTTAAAAGGATGAACAATTAAAAACAAATAAAAGATGTCTACTTTTGCTGCTTGTATACTCGTATTTACTATAATTAAAAGGAAAATTTGATAGTAATAATCCCAACTATTGGCGGTCCGCTTATAATAATCCCAACTATCGATTATTTCAGAATAATCCCAACTTTAGGGACCTTCCGCCAATAATGGTCCCTGTAAATAAATTCTTGTAGTTTCTAAAGTGGATGAGAAGAGATATAGCAAGTAATCCCTATAAATATTCCCAACTTTTAATTTTTACACTTAATTTCTATTTAAAATTCACTTTTTTGGAAGGTAATATCTAGTCATGGACCATTATTGGCGGATGGTCCATATAGTTGGGATTATACAAATATAATCAATAGTTGGGATTATTATCGGCGGACCGGCAATAGTTGGGATTATTATTTTCAATTTTTCCTAATTAAAAAATAATAAGAGTCGCTAGCCAACTACCCTCACCCAACCAACTTCATTTACCTCAACTTGACATTGTTACTTTTCTACGCAATTCGTGGTCAATGATTCCCGCGAACTCAACCAATCTTTATTCAATTATTTTGGTGTATACTTCGTATATTTTATGTAAATATTTTATTTGAATTACAAATATTTAATATATATATTATAAAGTATATTAACAGACAAAATATTGATGCATAAATATTTATATATTTGACTCCGGGACTATTTATCTTCATACATAATAGATACTACGTAGTATATAGTTATAGGAAGAATACAAAAAAAATGATTTTATATATTGCAAAACCTATGTTAGCACTTTTTCGAAAGAATCATAAATATATACTACATCCGTCCCAAATTGATTTGCAAATTTGACTTTTCTTGATCGAACAATTTCATTTTATTTGCTTAATCAGGATGTCAATTTTTAATTATATTCTAATTTGGAGTTTTCAAGTTTGAAGAAAATTTAATGTAGTTTCTGAATATGTTCATTTTAATTATTAAAAATTGAGTTAATTATCGATAATGAGGTTTGACTTTTGTTATTGATTGACCAAAAAATGTTGATTTTGCCAAACAATTTGGGACGGAGTGAGTAGTAAGTTTTGAAATGATTTTTATACTGAGAGTAGTTTACATGTTCATTCAAATGGTTCATCATTATTAAATGAATAATTGGATTAAAATATTGTGGAATGTGAAATTAATTTGACTGATAATTCACATGGCCAACATGTTGATTTTGAATCCTTGAAAGTTGATACCGGATTAAGAAGTTATATTAGGATAGAGACCCCATGGCTCAGTTTTTCTGGGTCCGCAACTGGTTCTTGCCAATGGTGATATAATTTGATCGAAGGTTTTAATTAACATATTTTGTTAAAGTTATATACCCGTATCTTATATTTTATGAGAGTAATTTAAAGGAAATGTTTATAATATCACTTTTATAATATGAATACTTTGGGATGCAAATTTGGTGATGAAAATTTATTAGGGTTGCTTGGGCAGATTTGTGTCTACCTAAAGGGGAGGGAGGGTCTTGGGATTAGGGATGCCAAGAATTGGAATAATGCTTTACCCTCAAAAACCGGACATTTATTTGAAAAGAGATGCTTTATTTTGAAACCGGACAGTTTCATTTTCTAATTTTCAAGATCAACTTTAGTCAATAATATTTTTAATACAAAGTTATTTTGAAATGAAAATTATATCAAAATGTTTACAATTCAAACTAATTGCATAAAAGTATAAAATTTATAAATTATATACATATATCATAATTAAAATAATTAATCAAAGTTTGTCATCACAAAGAAAAGTCAATACGGAGAACCTTTTTAAAAGGAAGGTAGTATTATATAAATGCATGCATATATACCGGGACGCTGGTAAAACGAGGGTGCTTCAGCAAGGTGTGGACCAGGGTGTCCTTGATTAGTTGAGGCTGGAGGGTGCACTTGCTCCCCATCACTGCTATGACATGCACGTTGAAGTTGGGTTCGTGAAACATCAGAGCTGATGGACTCAGCGGCTCGTCTTCGTATTCCTCCCTTCCATTCTTTCCTGACTTTGTTTGGATACCTTTAAGGCTTTTCCCTCTCCATCTCAACTCACTAATGCTCTCCATTATATTTATTTCTTTTTTATCAAATTAAGCGCTGCTCCCGGCCTCAGATTATGTCTTTATTTCTAATATCGAAGTTGAAATTCATATATATATATGACTATATATGCATGATGTATGAATTGAAATAATTGAGAAGCGGTAGGAGGTTAGCAAGCAGATTGTAGTTAGCTGGTGAAGTGATCTATACACACTGACGTATGTCGTAGCTTCATCATAAATGCATGCTCATCTATGAGTCGTCTTGATTAGTCCATTGAATAGCATAGTTTGGGGCCATTGAAGTGTGAATATTTTTTTTTTTCAAATTATTTGGAGTTTTTATAGAACTATATTATAAATAGAAAATGGTACTACCTCCGTCCCATATTTATCTTCATAGTTCGGTTTACGATGGTTGACTGACGATAAAGCAACTCGATCCCTGTTATTCGGATTATTTTTTGTAAATAAAATTTGCATATTCAGAAACTACATTAAAACTGCTACAAAGCCTGATCAAGAAAATTTACGTTTGATAAAAATTTGATATATAAAGTAAAAGATTAAGAGTAATTTGAGTTGACCATGTAAATAGTAACTATGAAGATAATTTTGGGACGGAGGGAGTACAAATTAACTTGAAACTCACAAACATTTCCGATTTTACTACGAACTCGTGTAGAATTTGATGTGATTATATTTGTTGTATTTCGTTCCGTTGAAATCGTTTTCTATCTCGTCGGAAAGATGTTATCGAGTTCTAAAATTCATCTTCAGCCATCGGTTTCAAAATAATAAGGGATCATTAGCTAATGAACCAAATTTGGAATTAAAGACTGTATTTACGCTAAAAATGCTCTCATCTATTTACGCTAAAAACTCTAAATCACATAGAATAAGCTAAATTCTTGTGTTTCAAGGGTATTATATCTTGTTGGAAAGATCATTTTGAGTTCTAAAGCTATTGTTCCGACTTCATTTATAATGCATTACAAATCAGAGTTCTAAAGCCCATACGAGTCCTCTGATTCTGCTGATTCTGCAGAATACAGCTTGAAGGGCCTTCGAACTTTATTGCACTTGAATATGAATCCTCTGATTCTTCACTTGATTCTCTAAAATAGATCGAACGTTCTTCGGATCTTCGAAACTTCGTTCTTGAGATCTTCGTTCTTCAGAACTTAAAATCTTCTTGAATCGATAATGCATAATTCAGCTTGACGGGCCTCAGCTCCGGTGTTCAAGTAGCTTGATCTTCAACAAAAGGACCGTTTTATGGCTTGATCATCAATTGAACTTTGATTCAATCTTTATATGAATATTATCAAATCTTCAAAGATTCAAATTCTTCATATCTTCGAATCTTCATAACATTGTTCTTCAGATCTTCGAATCTTTGAGCTTCGTTCTTCAGATTTTCGAACGTTTTTCAACTTTTGGATTTATTTCATCAAGAATGAATGAAATCACAAAGGATTATTCGTATATTATATTCTTAATAAAATTTGTTGCTTGATCTATTCCTTTTCTTCGGAATCGTTCAGAGCCTCTCGGGAATTCTTCTCAGCTTTTATGTCGCTTTATTTCTTCAACTGGAAGTTCTCTACCACATTTCACTCAATTGAGACCCCTATTTATAGGTGTGGAGGGGGTGAGATATGCTTTAGGGTTTCAAAATTCGTCCATACTCATGGGCCCTCATTAAAATGAGCATTTTGATAGCCACAAAAATCAGCACTTATACGTATCTGGATAACTTTTTTAATAAAGTTCGTACCGATTTTCCATACATATGGACACATTTCTTGGCTAGATTTGTTTTCCTCTTCATCAATTGGATCATGTTTCTTATTTTTTAGGCCATTATTTAATAATGGGCTCGAAAAAAAAAATTAATAGGACCACTCCATTAAATTAAATTAATCACTGCACTTTATCCGAACAGATCCAAATTAATATTTTCTTTTTGATAAGACAAATAACATTCGAGAGCAACCCAGTAAAATCCAACGTTAGCTCAATAAGACAGATGCCTCCTCGAGACTTCTTTGGACTTTTCATTCAGAGAAGGACGGGCCTCTCTCGATAGTTACAAATTCAAGTTTTTTTTCTTTCTTTCAAAAGCTCTTAATTCTTCTGGATCCCAACAAGCCCAAAATCTTCGCATAAAGCTAATGATGTCATATATATCCTAAATTTAAAATGGTCCTTTTAATATCGAGATCCGTCCATAGCAAAGGAGTAAAGCAAATGAGGAGTCCATAGACAAACCTCCTTAGAAGTTGGAACGTGAGTTCTACTTAAACTCTAAAAACCTGGAGCCTAACCCCTTATAAATATAACCCATACTTGAAACTCATCAATTGCATACGAACTAAAGCCAGTGCACCTTAGAGGGAGAGTTTCAAGGCACGGTAGTTTTTCTCCCTTGTTCATCTCCTCCGTCCGTGAAACAAATTTTAAGTATTTACTTAAAATTGATCGCAAAAAATAATATGTGAAATATCGGGTACAATTTCTAAATATGAATTCTCTGATTCTTCATTTGCAATTTGATAAGAATATAATTAAAGAATTTAATTTAAAATTAAATCTTTAATTCTTCAAAAATTCAAATGTTCTTCGTTTCTTCGAATCTTCATTCTTGAGATACTTGAATCTTCGAATCTCCATTCTTCAGATTTTCAAATCTTCTTGAATTAAGAATTCAGCTTGAAGGGCCTCCGGTTTTCAGGTAGCTTGATCTTCAACAAAAGGTCCGCTATATGACTTGATCTTCTGTTAAAGGGCTTCCCGGAATATATGTTTTGGTCTTCAATTGAATCTGGGTTCAATCTTCATATGAATATCTTCAAATCTTCAAAGATTCGTTCTTCAGATCTTCGAATCTTCAAAGCTTTGTTCTTCAGATCTTCGAATCTTCGAGCTTCGTTCTTCAGATCTTCGAACATTCTTCAACTTTTGGACTTATTTTATCAAGAATAGATGAAATCACAAAGGATTATTCATATATTCTTGACAAAAAACATGGCTTGATCTCTTCCTCTTCTTTGGAATCGTTCAGAGCCTCACGAGAGGTCTTCAGAGTTTTGCTGCAACGTTTCTTCATCTGGAAGTTCTCCTCTTTCTCTCAACTGAGACCCCTATTTATAGGTGTGGAGGATCTGAAAATATGCATTAGGGTTTGGGAAATTCGTCCATACCCCTTGGGCCCTAATTAAAATGGGCTTTGGGCTTTGTTTGCTTGCATTTTAATAGCCAGAAAAATCAGCACTTGTTCGATGTATCTGTACAGCCTTTATAACAAGGTTCACAACCATTTGCCATGCATATAGACATATTTCTTAATCAGATTCATTGTTCTCTTTATCAATTGGATCATGTCTTTTATGTATTGAGCCACATTTGATAATGGACTCAAAATTAATAGGATCGGTTCATTCTTTGAAAGGTTTAATTTATAATCAAATTAAGTGGATATTCAAATGACCCAAATTAATTTCATCACTAAATTATATCCTAATGAACTCATATTAATATTTTCTTCTAGATAAGGCCCAACAACCATCACGTATCAAGTAAGAATTAATATGGAAGAGTACTGTTCATGAATCTTATGCTTTGTATATTGAAGCTCGGCGCTATATATATATATATATATATATATATATATATATATATATATATATATATATATATATATATATAGGGGACTGTTCTGGTAAGAATAGAGTCTCAGGAGAGAAATAAGAATGATATCTAGCCATTGATATCATCCATCTAATGGATACTAAACAATAGACGATTGTTTTATTTTCGGCCATATTAATTTTGGTCAAATGGAAAGTCTCATCAACATTAATTGAGAAGGGTAATATTGTCAAATAAAATGGAGAAAGATTGCACGTGTGTTTCTATTATGGGAAGTCAACCAAAAATATAGTATAATCATTAACTTTCTAATAATTAATATGATTTATATCATTAAAACGTTTCTTACAAACTTTTTCATTTTGACTTTTTCATTAATTATAACTGAAGATTAATATGTTTTTTCTAGATTAAATCCTTCGTCAATGAATTAAATTTGTCGAATTGCACGACAATATTGATCAAATGCGTTTTTGTTCGAAGTTTCATGCACCATTAGTTTTATTACTCAACCATATTTTACTTTCGAAAATTAATAATACATCATAGCTAGTTTGCTTGAATCATTTTCTTTCTTATGCATCAATTTATGCACCAAGTGCATTGATGAAATTATATTTTTATAATGCACTTGAATGTTTGATTAAATGCATATATCTTTTTTTATTTAAAAAAATGAGACATTACTTATTATAAAAGTGCAGTTATTTTACAATAAGAATTTGACTTGCATCGTTTATTTTCAAGTTTTCGTTGCAGTGCACATTATCTTTCATTGCAGTGCACATCCTTTTCATTGCAGTGCACATCCAATAATAAGAGGTTTGAAAATAATGTGTGTATTTTAAATGTATAGATGAGTGCACTTTCATGCATGTTTCATGCAAATCAATATTTACAAACAAAATAGAGTATGTGCATTTATTTCACCACCAATATGCATCATTGGAGTGAACTTTTATAAATTGCACGTTTATGTTATTAGCTTGCACTTTCTACACATTATGCTGCGCTTTCGTCATGTCGGTGTGTACTTTCATGCATACATTTGTTATCATCATGTGCAAATTAAATACACAGAAAACAACACTACTATAGCATACATTCTACACTTCTAAATTGAAACTTTTTTACAAAATGAAATGCACTGTAACAATGTGCAATATCATATATACAAAAGTGCACTACTATATCACACCTTATAAAATTTTACATAGGCACTTTTTGCAAAACGAAGTTCACTTTTCTTCTACTCTTCTTGTTGCATGCACTCCATATGCGCACTTTTATGACCTTGTTGATGGGACACCATATATCATTTATGCCTCTTGGATGGTTTATGTTTTTGAGTTCCTTTCTTGCCAAATCTATTGTAGTGCAGTCATAATCATAACAATGTGCATAAAAAATATTATAGAACAACATATTAAAATGACAATGCA